CATGAGCCTATGGGTGTTGAGCGCCCGCACCAAACATAGATATAGTGATGGCACATATGTTTAACTGACTCAAAGTGATAGACTAGCAGCATTCACAACATCTACTTATTTTTAAGTTAGTTACTTATGGACCACTTTTGAGCAGTTAAAAGTATTCTGAATGACATAGATCGAAAATAAGCTTCCTCACTCATACGACACCGGGGTATCTACCACTTCCGATTTGACCGACTATATTTTACCTTGAAACTAATCATGATAATATCTCAAATAGTGTGTGATACAAATCTAGCAACAGAAACCTGAACAAACTTCCCTCGTCTTCTAAGAAGAACGAATATTCAGTGATAAAACAAGCCGGCTAAACGAAAACAGAACAAGAAAGATCAAGATGTGGTTAGGAAATAAAAGCAGACATTCTGAAGGTGACAGTTTTGTTGTAAAGTAAAACGTACATGCTGTAAAATAATTAGTTACCCGTCGGCTGGGGTGAAACCAAACAAAAGTTTAACAGAACGCATATTGCTGTAATGAGCTGCAAATTTGGGAGCCTCTCGAAGATTTTAACGAGAGCGATAGATAAGACAGCAATCAAATTTAGTATAGGTGCCCCAGTGATTAGAAATGTGAGTGAGTCGCAAACGTTCAGAAAACACAACTGTCGAACACCTCATCAAGTGCAACGACATACCCTACGATGAATAACTCTTTGAGACTAGCAGAACGCATTAAGTACAAACGAGGCAGTTTGGATGAGCTATTGGTGCACCGGAAAATGAACCTCAGATATACCAACCACGCTAGGTGGTTGATATGACGATCGATCAATAAGATGTGGAACGAGTGCGTGAAACTTTATTGTAGTTGCTCCAGTCTTTAGTGGAGTGATAGGTTCGTGCTACTATTTTACAGGGTTGAACAGTTGATGATATTTTCTAGCTTCTTCTACAAATGCCGTTGTTTCTTCCTGTAATTTCGAGGCGTGTGTCTTTTTGGTGAGGTTAAAGTGAATTTACGCATCGGGTGCGCATTTATACATTGGTTTGAATCCACCCGAAGTCCACATTTTTTATAATTGGGTCTTTTCTAAAGTCTGCAAAACTACTTGCCATTAATTCCGGTGTAGACAAGATGGCGGCTTCCTTCAGTCTCCTAAAGTCCACTTAACTATGTATAATTTGAATGTGCTGGACGAGAGTGTGCATCTGAGTGGTCTGTTATACTGAATAGAAATCATCGTTAACTTGAAGACAAAAAGCTACCCTTTACAATCCAATTTCAAATAGCCTTGGAAGCATTGGGCAGGCAAACATTGTTCCGTATACTTTGAACACAGTGAGCATTGTACTCTTATTAAGTAATTCCTTGGTTAAGCCACAACGAGTCAAAAACCAAAAG